GCCCCTCCGCCTCCCCTCATCATGGCGGCCCCCCCGCCTCCCCTCAGCGTCAGCACCGCCCCTCAGGCTCCGGCGCGGGCTCTTCCCGCCCGGCGCAGCCGCGGAGCAGCAGGCGGGGCGCGGAGCGGGCGGGAAGGGCGGAGGGCTGTTGGTGGCGGTCCCGGCGGGGCAGGATGGCGCTGCCGCAGCAGTGCGAGGCCGCGTTCGGCACCGCCGACCTGTACGGTGTGCTGGGCGTGCGGCGCGGCGCGTCCGCGCAGGAGATCCGCCGCGGCTACCACCGCGCCTCGCTGCGCCTGCACCCCGACCGCGTCCCGGCCGAGCAGAAGGAGGAGGCCACGCGCCGCTTCCAGGTGAGGAGAGGCGAAGGGAGAAAGGGATGGAGGGAAGAAGAGACGGAGGGAGAAAGGGAGGGAGGGGGGCGGTGGCAGCCACGAGTGAGACCGACCCACCACCCCACAAGTGACTGGCCCCCTGATCCGCTGTCCCACAAGTGACTGAACCCCGAGTGACCGCCCCAGTGACCAGCCCCGACCGTGACTGACCCCCGAGTGACCTCCCGGGCACCGCTGCGTCCCGCAGATCCTGGGCAAGGTGTACGCCGTGCTGAGCGACGACACGCAGCGCGCAGCGTACGATGAGACGGGCATGGTGGACGAGGACGCAGAGGCGCTGCAGGACGGGCGGGACTGGCTGGAGTATTGGCACCTGCTGTTCAAGGTGAGAGCGGGATGGGGCTGGGAGACGGAAGAACTTTTCGTTTTGATGTGTTTTCTCTTAAATCCTCCTGATGAGCAAGTCCTGTAACTCACAAAGCATCACCTCTTTGCTCCAGGTCACCATGAAAGACGTTGAAGACTTCCACAATAGCTACAAAAACTCGGAGGAAGAGCTGGCTGATGTGAAGGCAGCGTACATGAATTTCAAGGGCGACATGGATCGGATCATGGAGTCTGTGATGTGCGTGGACTACACAGATGAGCCCAGGATACGGGAAATGATCAAGCAAGCCATCGACTCCGGGGAGCTCCCGTCCTACAAGGCTTTTGTAAAGGAGTCAAAGCAGAAGATGATGTCCAGAAGAAAGAGGGTAGGTTGCAGCAATCGATTACCATAACCTTTAACCCTTGGCAGAAATAAGTGACACTTTTCTTTTGAGATGTTTGTCACAGGTTTGCTGGGTTACACACTGTACTGTTCACATCTGGTTACCTGTGGTCATCACCCCCCACCCCAAATCATTGTGAAAGGTTTTTCTACTTCTTTATTTCCTTATTATACACAGTTACATTACAGTTTAGCATGCCCCTGCATTTATCTACAAAGCTGTGAGTTGCTGGAGTTAACAAAAACAAACAAGTGGTGAAAATACATTTTGGTTGGCTTCTGGCAGGTGTGAAACTACTCTAACCTAAATGGACTCTTGTATGCTTTTGGACACTTTATAGAATGTTATATGCACATCACAGTAGTCTTTAAGTTATTGTAGTATCTACCAAGACAAAAAAAATAAATGGGTGTGGGAACAGGGATGGGGACAAACATCACATTCAACACTGGGAAAGAGCAGAAAAACTTCCTGCTCTGCTAAATGGTGGAACCAGAATGGGCGTCCTTTGCCTGATTCCTTATCTGTGGCCAAACTTGGAAACCCTTCGGACTTCCCTGCAGCTATTTGTATACAGATGCCAAAAAAAACCCCATTGGTAAGTCCTGTAAGACTTGGTCAGATAACATGGAAAATACTTCTTATAAAAAAAAACTTGTTTACTCTTTTAGGCAGAAAAAGAAGCTAAAGAGGCAAAAAAGACTAAAGATGAATTGGGCCTTAGTGGAGAAAATGACTTGCAAGCGCTGATTAAAGTAAGGCTTCTTCCGTTTGTTGCAGATAATTTTGTTACTGGTTTATAATTGTGTTTTCCCTGAGGGTCTTTGATTTTGGATCCTTGCATATCTTCTGAATTCCTGAGGTTAAAACCTGGCCTTAAATGTTAATTATGTGCTTTAATTTAATTAGAATCATAGTACAGTATGGATTTTATTACGTGTGTCTATTTAAAACTTTACAAGAGTTAAATATTTGGAGCACTTATGCAATAACTTCTAGTTTTAGGCAGTTTCACAGGGAGTTTTAATGATGATGCTAAACTTTCTGTAGCTTGTATTTAACATGTTTGATGTAGTCCAAGATTTTGTGTAGCTATCAGACTTCAATAGGATAAGCTGTATTGGGAAGTTGCAAAAGGTTTGAGCTTGGTTGGTGTGCTTTTCCCCCCTGCCCAGAGCCGAAGCAGAGAGCGAGAAAAGGAAATGGATAACTTCTTCGCCCATCTGGAATCAAAGTATGGGAACAGTACTAAGAAAGGAGGAAAGAAGGCCTCAGCCAAGAAAAGAAAGGCAGAAGGAACAGCGTAGACTGAAATACCAGGTTTCACTTTGTATGGAAACGTGGCTTTGGGAGAATTTGAGGTGTTTTCCGGGCTCCTGTTTCAGACTGTGTGCATTGACTGGCTCTAAGTGGGAGGAATGACATGGCACGCATGCTGAACAGGGAAGACAAGGCATTCCTGTGCTACTGTCTCCAACCCTTTGGGTGCCCTACAGTTGAGATCCATGTGTGCTACTCACACATTTCTTCTGTAACAAACCTCCTGCTATTTTTAAAGGTCTTTGCACATCAGCTCAACAGGTCTTTTTCAAGATACTCCTGTAGTTTTTATAAAGATTGTTTGGAAAATTGCTGATTTAATAAACAAGAAGGTGGGTTTTTTTTCAGTTTTGCTTCCTCAGTTCTCTGTGTGTTTTCTAAATAAGTTATTTAAAACAAGCCAATTGTGTTGATTCTTCTGATTTCAGTCAAATAAATCCTGCACACTTCCAGGGAGGATCGTGTTTCAAAGGCGTAGGAATCTCAAGGTGAACGCTTTGGGAGTTGAAGGCCCTCACAGCTTCAACAACAGCTCCTAGGGGGAAGCCAGAGGTAGATGGTCTCTCTGTTCCCTTTTACTTGTCTGCTCTCAAAAATAACCCTGATTCTGAGAAAGCAGAGCCTGTAATTGTGGTTTATAACACATGGCTTGAAGGTTACTTTTATTACACAAAATAAATAACAGTCCAGGAGCAGTCCCTGGTGTCAGCCATCTGTACCAAATAACAGAAATGGCCTTAGGAGGCAACTGCATTTTTTAAACCCACTGACCCCTCTAGGCTGTAAAACACTACACCATGTTAACAGAAGTCTATTCAAGTTTATTTGTCTGCTTTTGTAACTCTTGTGCTACAGAAAACTCACTTGGTCCCTGAGGAATGGCACGGATACAAATGGGATGCTGATCTGCACTTTGCCTGACATAACTGACAACACTGCACAGTGTTCCAGAAGAGAGACTATAGTTTGAAATGGTTTAGTGAATAGAGGCCTCTAGTGAGCATCAGCTTCCTTCTCTGAAAACTTAAGACTGAGCTCAGAGCTGCTTTTTTTTTTTAACTTCTGGAAATGCAAAGAAGGCTAACCCAGTTATGTTTGCACATTTCCTTGTTTTTGATTGAAGCATGTTTGGATCAACTGGACTTGTGAGCTTCAATATGGATGAAAAATTATTAGCTGGTCTGGAGTGAGGAAATAGGGGAGCCACTTCATAAAAAATACTAACAAGATTTTTTCCTATTGTGAACAGTAATTTAAGGAATAAGAAAATACAGGAAAATAGTGCTCTTTAATTGGACTAGAAAGGAACAACTGTTTTTGTGGAGCATCCTAACTTTGTTTAAATGCAGCCAGTGCTTACCTCAGCTTGTTTTTACATTTCAGTCTGGCAGTTACTGTTTGGGAGTAAGACCTTCAACTAATCACTTATTTTGAGAAGCCTGTACTTCATGCTTTCATTTGTTTTATCTGGAGCCACAAGGCCAACTCCAGCAAAAGCCTCTGTCAGGTCTGTCACACAGGGCAGGCACAGCTCTTAAAAGCTCCAATGCTCCAGTGGCTTCTGGAACTCTACCTTGGAGTGAAGAAATCTTGTGTAATTATATGAATTTTTACAAAGGGACACTGAGGTGTTCTGTGAAGTTACCATAAAATGTCTCACCAGGAGGATTTTGAGTACTGTCTGAAACTACTTGCAGTAAGAAATTTCTTTTTTGCCTGCTCAGCTTTCTTCAGTCACTAAGGAAGAGGTAAAAGGTTTTATAACTCAGGAAGAGGCAGTGTTTTGCTGCCCTTGGAGCTGCCAGGTCACCTGCTCTGCAGCCTTGGTTCTACACACCTGTGTTCATACCTGCTGCAGCTACCACAGCATTCAACATCTGCCTAAGTGCTTGCTTTTGCTAGTACAATATTGCTTTAAACATATAAATACACTTTTTAAAAAATGTAAATCACTACAGCTGTGGAAGGCTGGGTTAACCTTCCTGAGGGAAAAATGAGCAGGTCCTGCAGTACCTGCCTGTAAGGACATGAACCTGTCACCAGCCTCATGGAAAACAGCACAAGCACAGACAGAGTGCTTGCTGGGTTTCTTAGGAGTTGGGCTTCACTGGAATGTATTCACCCTTCCACTGGAGCATCACTTTCTCTACTGGTAGGAAATGGAATGTTTAAGTGCGTCCCTTCTAATCTTTGGCAGCTGCTGCTTAGATTTATATAAAAATAACTATCTGTAAGGAAGGGTGTTTGAAAATTCTGTGTAAACAACGTTGACCTTGCTGGGAAAGAGGTGGTTCATGACTCTCTGGAGGGGGATGAATGGGTGAATGCTTCTCCATGGCACATCAGTGCCTCTGCTTGCTCTTTGTGCCTGATCCACTTCGGCCATGGACTTTCACAGAACCGTGTGATGGAAGACCTGACAAACAAGAGATCATGGACAGCCTCAAGACTTTGGGAAGGAATTACAGCTAAGTATCAAATACACTTCCTCTAGCTTAAAACTTAAGTGTCTTTTTACTCTAACACATGGCTATCAATTGCTTTATTTATAACTTCCAAAAAGGGCAAAGCTTGTGCTTGCCGAGTTGCTGCATTGCAGGGAGTGACTGCATTCTTTGATTTCACTAAGTGTTCATGTCTACAAAGCTTTTGTGCTATTTCAAATTGGTTTGTCAAAACCAGCAGTCATAAAACTCATCTTGCTTTTTTTTGGTGGGGGAGGGAAGATATTTATTTAATTTCAGTAGGAACCACTCCTTGCTTGTTTGAAAACAAGTTACTTCAGTTTTAGTAACTTGAGGTTAACAGAGGCACTACTTCTGTTTAAGCTGACAACTTGCACACTGAGAGGCACTGGGGCTGATAACATTAAGCTTCCTTACTTGATTTAAATACTTGGTGTAATAAAAAAAAAAAATAACAACAAAATGCACCCAGCTATACTCTGGAGTAGAGTAAGACATAGCAAGGATAACATCTGTAAAATGGCAAATTAAAGACATGGATGGAACTTTGAAAAACCTCCCCAGTGTAAATTACCTGTAGGAATATACCCCTGTAGGAAATGCATCCCTGTCCCAAAAACCTCCTTTGATCTTAACTAAACCCTGTGATTGATGAGCATACCTGAACTTGTGGATCCTCTCCTTGTCCAGGATTGAATACTATAATCAGTAACAGTGCAAGAACGGCGGCGCTGGGAATGGGGCTGGAAAAACAGCTCAAGTTATTTCTGTTTGCATGAAAAAAAAACCCAGCAAGATTATAATACAACTTAAAACTACTTAAACATGTATTTGGTAATGAGTTAGATGTTGTGAAGGTCTAAGCAAAGTTTTTAAAGAAAGGTCAAATCAACTTTAGAAGTAGAAAATACACTTTTCTAACACATATTTAGTATGATCATTGGGCCAGTTGGAGGCAGTCTTTCCATCTCAGAATACTGGGCTGTTCCAAAGCAGATTTTATAACTGCTGAGTCCAGGATGTTGAAATTATATATGGAAACCAATCAAGCAGCAATTTAAAAGCTGTGCTGATATTACAGCTTCCAAAGCTTGGATAGAAACACGTTGTTAAGATACAAGAAGGTATGAGTAGAGTAGCAGTTCCAATTAAATTAAACTGAGGATGTTTGATACTGAAACAGACTGGACATTGATGTTAATTCTCAAAGCACCCTTTTCAGTAATTAAGGATGATCTGGTGTAATTAGCCATGTTTTACCGAGGGTGTGCTGGTTGTGTTAGGCCTGGAGAAGGGATCAGGTAAGAACAGCTGCTCCTGGAGCTGCTGGTGAGTGTCTTCTTGTGTTGTGACACTGTGAGCACGGCGGCTCGAGTTCCCTCGAGGTTTCTGCAAGGAGAGTAACAGAGTTACGGCTTTTAATTAGAGAAGCAGTTCATCAAAAATAATTAACCCAGGAATTAAAGCTTTTTTTCCAAGTGAATTATTTTATACCTAGTTATGAGGAGGGAAACATTCAATTTGCATTATTGAGAATTAAGCAGGTAAGCGTGGGTGATGCTGTTAATCAAAACTGATACATTTTTCTGTTTGATCATCTATTTCACCTTCTGTCACAAAACAACAAATAAACTGGAACTCTTGGGCTGTGTAATTTGACAAGCAGTGATAACAACTTTAGATTATCCCGTAATAAAATGAGATTCTTGTGCCTGTTACCGTTTGCCTGTGGGGTCCTGTGGTGCTCCCACGCTCTGCCACAGTGGTGGTGGCAATGGGTGGCAAGGGGTGATTTCTGTTCAGCAGCAGTGGGGAGGGTGACATCACCTGCTCCTGTGCAGTCAGGCTGGAATGCACCAGTAAGAACACAAAAAAACACACAGTTAATATGTTTGGCAGGTGGAAAGGTGTAATGTTGTCAGTTTCTTTGGCCTTCTGTAAGAATACCTTGGAAAAGCTTCAAACCGTAATCTAGAAAATACTTTCCTAGTGCTCTCTACTTACATTTAAAAATACATTTTAATCAAGCAGAGATGTCACTCTTAGATTGACTGAAGCCTGAGGAAAGGGAACAGAAACACAAAATACTGGAAGGAGAAACACCAGTTATGGAAGGACAAGGAATAAGTCTCTCAGCGGTATGTGACAAGAAAGCAACAGACTGGATGAATTTATAGGTAAACAGCAAAACTAAAACTACAGTAATTTAGAACACATGGAATAGACAGGTCTATCAAATCCTCCATTGTTCCCTGATACTCCCTGTGGTCCCTGTAAGTGACTCTATTCAGTCAGGTCATTGTGCAAAATAAAAGAAAGATATTCTAGATATGATTGAGGGCTAGCTCACTAGGAGACCTTTGGTCCAATAGATAACCTATTTAAGCATTTTTATAATCCAGTCTGGGCTAGGATAGCAACATGCAGATTTAAAAATTTATCTTGAAAATAGGCTGCAGAAAGAGACAGCCGTGTCAAGGAAGAGATGGTGGCGTTCACTTGCTTGCAGAGGACAGACTGTGACCTATTGCTCATGCGCAAAACTACCTGAATATGGGACTGTGTGTGATTCACTGAATCACAGCTGGCAGCACACTGAACGTCAGCTTTAACGACTCGGCTTTCTCAGGGGAGTTGTGCTTTAAGGAGCAGTCCCTCCTCACCCCCGTAATCCATGTCCTCCCTTCCCAGGGACGCTCTGACCCTGGTGCCCTGCAGGGACAGGCTGTTCTGGGGACCTACAGGCGCCTGCAGACGTCGTCCCCGGAGCGCGGGGTCCCGATGGGCTGCAGCGTCCGTGGCGGGGGGTTCTTCCTCCTGGTGCAGCGGGACAGGGACGAGGTGCTGAGCTCCAGGGGACGACTTGGCCACGTCCAGGTAGAGAGGAGGGAACTCGAGCCTGGCCGTTTGTCGTCCAGGACCCTAGCAACAAGAAAAAATTACAAGACCAAAAGAGTGATGGTCAGCATGACAACTGCTGTTACCAAAGTGCTCGCCTACAGGTGACTTTATTCATAAAATACGTAGGCAGAAATTGTGTGTTGATTTTTTAAAGTAACTATATCAATTTTTACAGAGGACAAATAAATAACCAAGCAGGAAAATAACTAATAATTGTTTTCTCCAGCAGAAGAATTTATCTTACAAGGTTTTGGGTTGAATCCCTCTCAGAGTGAAAGTGCTCTACTTTATTTGCTACAGGTGATCTTACAGTGTTTTCTCCACTACAG